AAGAGATTGGCTGTCCCAGCTGATGCAATATACCGTTGTCACTGTGGATAACCAACACTTGTCATTTCTGGCCATTGATGCGCACAAACACACCTAGTGGCCCAGTGGGCTAGTGGTCGCTCTTGTCCTTTTCACCAAGGCAGGGAGTTCTGGGGCAATCCGCCCAGCCACCCCACGCAGGGGTCTCGTGATTCTGTCATTCGAGCTCTCCAGACTCCACCATCCCTTACAGAAACATCCATCTCTGCAGTCTCCCTGAAGCCTGCTCGGCAGGCTCTCTCTCTCCCGGGGTTTCTAGATACTACTCTGCGATTCAGGAAGGGATAGTGAACGCGCCATGGCGATCACCTGTGAGAACAGCAGCGGTGATGATGACGACGATGCCCTCTACCCCGCCACCGAGATGCTGGAGGCCAGAACGGGTCTAGACTTTCTAGTCTCCGCGCTCTCCCATGAAAAAGAGAAGCAAGCTCCTCTCACTTCAGGAGCATACACTGGTGAAGCGTCTGACCTCTCCCGCGGAGACGATCGCTTCCAGCCCGCGCATACTGCCAAGCCGGCCGTGGCGTCAGCAGCTGGCCCGAGCGTCCGCTTGCCATCTCGTGCCTCGTCGTCAAAGCCTCCGCCTCGTTACAAGCAGGCCGTGCTGCGCTGGGCCGATCCAACCGCTCCTGCCCGTCCTCTCGCTGATGCCGGCGAGTCGGTAAACCCCGTTTCGGCCACTCCATCCAACTCTCAAAAGCCGTCACTAACCACTCTGATTTACGAGGATACGTTGGACTCGTTCAAGTCCACGTGGTCGTCAGACTACCCATGGCTCATACTCATCAAAAACACTTCTGGTCTGCCTGCGTTCAAGTGCAGATTGTGCATAGACTTTGCAGGTGACGGTGGCAAGTGTGGCAAGAGTGGGCACGATGCAACCGATCTTCAGACCCATGTGCTGTGTCCTGCAGTAGATAGATTAGAAGTTCATTAGAACAGTATTCTGATTTAACTTATTTTAGTTGTTAGTGGTTGTGGATTCCAAGCGTCAGTGTTTTTTTATGACTCACGCTGTTTAATCAGTGTTTTTTTTTTAACAACACTGACAAATCAGTGTTTCCCCACGGGCAACCCTGATGATCAGTGTTACAGCCCCAAGGGTCCCTGAGTGCTCAGGGTCACCCAAAACGAATCTGAGGCCCTGGATGGCGGGAAACCAGGTCGGGCCAGGTCGAGAAATTTCAATTTCGCACGGGGGAAAAAGGGGAACTAGGTCTAGGTAGGTCGGAGGGCCCGAGCCGCGCCCTCCGCTTGACCGTCCACATCTATTTCGGGGATGGGAATAGCCTCCCACTAGTAGGCACTTTTGTCGCTTCTGTGTCCCTACATGTTTTACCGGGATCGAAACTCCGACCGACATGAAGCAAAATCGTCATGTGCAACAATCGATATGGAAAAAAAATGAAGGGTAATCTACATAGAAATTTAAATTAATAAATTATTCTGTTTTGAGCATTCAGTACTACATACCGTATTATGTTTGTTTTTTCATGATCCGGAAGTAAGCATGTACTGTGTCAGAGGTCCACTAGTGATCCCCGATTGATCCTAGAGAAGAGTTACAGGCTCGTTGTCCTGGGGGGTTATGGGCGCGTTGACCCGCTACTTAAAAAACCCTCTTATTCCAGTGGTCTAGTGGTTGGGATTCTGACATACTGTATGTTTATATGGTAGTGCACTGAATTAGAATTCAAGTCCTTCGATCCCTCGTGCACCTGCATCCTCACCTAAGAGGCCTCTATGAAAGCGCCTTGCATATCACAGCAGCACAGCAGAACTTTGGATTCAGCAACACTAAACTTGGGAGGAGGACCCTGCGTCTTCCCAACCAGTCCTATCCCATCTCTTTTAACTCATGCTAATTGGCTTTTTTTTTTTACATTCCAAGTGTGTGTGATGATGTGAATGCCCTTACGCGTCACCAACCACATACTTCCTTTATTATTCTTCAGATGTACTCAGCCTGCTAATGGTCTCGGCGGAACGGCACCTTGGTGTGCTCCCTCGCCGCATTTCTCTTCCTCTTCTTTGCCATAAAAGAGTCGAGCTTGCCCCCCGCCTGCAACACACACATAGAAAAGGCAAGAAGGGACAACTGAATTAAAAGAAGGATAAGAAACCCACCAAATCGGCTACAGAGAGACCGTGGCGCTCGAAGCATTATTTAATGGAATGAAGAGAAAGCAAGAACCATAAAGACGCATTAATCGAACCAACAATTATTTATGAGATGGTGCATCTAGAACAAACCCAAGCCCTTGCTTTGTGTGGCTGACTACGCATTTCACATGTGACTTGCATGTGTAATGGACATACCTTAGGCTCCTGATATTTCTCATACAGCTCTTCACGCCGGCGAGACGCTGCAGAGGAACACCACAGCATTTGACACATACCACATGACCGCACAGCACCGCATGATACCACACCGCACACATTGCCACATGCCAAAGCAAGCCCAAAGCGGGTCGGAGGCAAGCAGGGAGTAAAGAGGAGGAAACCGAATGCCGGTTGAGGGTGGAGGATGGCGTGTAATTAGGGGTAGTGAAACAGGTAACTCCAGAAGTTTTAACAAATCTGATATGTCATAGTGCTCAGGTGTCAGAAGGGTGGCCGGAGCAGGGGAGGGGAGGTGAAATGACTAGCAAAGAAGGAAGGGAGTGTGAGCGGGTCTTTTGAAGTGAGGTGGGATGTGAGTCCGCTCACACCACTCTGCTCACTGGAAGTTCAGGGCCAGCGATGCAAGTCCGATACGAACACAGTGATGAATCATTAGAATTATTGATGTGACACATGCGTACAAGCAAGTACATGACGCCCTGCCCTCCCAGCCACTCTCTCTCTCTCTCTCTCTCTCTCTCTCTCTCTCTCTCTCTCTCTCTCTCTCTCTCTCTCTCTCTCTCTCTCTCTCTCTCTCTCGCACGCACACACAAGCACACAGCACATTCATGCAATTTGGTAGGACGGTTTATTTGGGGTGACTATTCAGTTAGTCAAACGTGGCTCTCTTGCACACTAGCACATAACCACACCAGCACGCAAGCACACTAGCACACAAGTACACAAGCACACACGCACACACGCACACAATCACACAAGCACACACGCACACAATCACACCAGGCCGCAAGCACACAATCTCCCTCCCCCTCCAGGCCACATTCTCTCTCTCAGTCACCCAGGAACACAAACACACAGCATGTACACTTGGTCTGATAGAATGGTTTCTTGCCCGCCTTCACAGCCTCCCTCTCCTGCCGCTTCAGCTTCATCTCCCTCTCCCTCCCGGCCACTCTCTCTCTCTCTCTCTCTCTCTCTCTCTCTCACACACACACACACACACACACACACACAAACAAGCACACCAGCACGCCAGCACACAAACACACCAGCACGACAGCACACAAACACACCAGCACACAAACACACCAGCACGCCAGCACACAAACACACCAGCACACAAACACACCAGCACGCCAGCACGTACACTTGGTTTGGTAGAATGGTTTCTTGCCCGCCTTCACGGCCTCCCTCTCCTGCCGCTTCAGCTCCATCTCCCGCCCCACCTTCTTCTGCCTTTGACTCTCACTCTTCAATGATTGCTCCTGCAGAACAAACCACCGGCGATTGAGGGAGTGAGGGGTGTGAGTCGCAGAGGGAGAAGGCATCATGGGTGGGTGTCTCCCTCCCCACCTTCTTCTGCCTCTGGTTCTCACTCTTCAATGACTGACCTGCGGAACAAAACATCGGGGTGTGGAAGAGGGGCAGGGAGCGGGCATGAGGGGTGAGGGGCAGAGATGGTGAAAGACGGGTGTGTGTGTGAGGGTCAGGCAAAGGCACGAAATGGGTCCACTAGGAACATCCGCAACCCCTCCCAGGCACATGGGTATTCCCCTCACAGTCTTCCTCTGCAGTTGGCCCTCAGGTTAGGTAGCTGAGATTCTTAGGAAAGGCAGATAGAAGAGCTAATACAAGGACACTTGAAGAATGCAACAGAAAGCCATTGAAGGAGATGGATATGCAAAAATTGAAGTAGAGGGAGCAATGGGGCCCTAAATGATAAGACAAACTAAAAGCAGTGCGGATGGGTATACATATGTTGAGGAAGGGAGAGGGGAGCAAAAGAGGCAGAGTGTAAGGGAGGGCAAGAAAGCGAACAAGTGAGAAGCAAAAAAAAGGACTTTATACAGACTCGAAACAATAGAAGTTAGAGAGACAGTGACGAAAGGAGCGGAAACAGAGATAACAAAGGCGAATGGTTTTGGCTACAAGACGAGCAACATTGGTTGTAAAGGGATTCTATTCATAAGAACTCAGAGGGGAAAAAAAGAGCAAAGTAACTTACAATCTGTGCAAGCCGGCGCTTGATCTTCTTCCGCTCCTCCTCGTCCTTTGCCCTCTTCAGCTGCCTCTGCATCTCCTGGTAACGGCGTAGCAGCAAGGAGGGGTGAGTAGAAGGAAGCAAAGTGAGAAGAGTGAGTAGTGGCGGCAATTGTGTGAGGAATCAGAGGCAGGAAAGACCGTGCTCCAGGTGTTGCAGCAAGGCGAATTCTTAGGAGGAGCAAAAACGAGGGGGCGAATGCTGTGAAAAGACACAGAATCTCACACACACAGCACAACAGCAGCATCGCCTTCATAGGTTGTTGAGAACGGTTCCCTCTCTCCATGACTCTTGCATACATCTGTTGTAATCTCGGCTTACCTCTTTCTCCTTGGGAAGTGTTTCTGCAAAAATGAACTTGTAAGCAGACTTGAACCTGGTAGTAAAGAGGACAGAACAGAAATGGCATTCGAAACAGCTATATTATAGGAACATAAGAAAACGGAGCGAGAGACAACAGCGGTTGTTCGAAATTCAGATAGGAGAATATGTCAAGTTCTGAGTAGACTCAAAAGGTGGCATGATGGAGGTTGGGAACTGAACTTGACCTATATTCCTATCTCCTCATTTCCCATCACTTCCTTAATAGTGGGTCCCTCTTTCCCCCCCGTTCCCTCCCTCCACCCCTCCCTGCCCCCTCCTCCCCTTCTTTCCCCAGTGCCCACCTGCCCTCGTCGTACTCCTCACAGAGCGACTCAAATCGCGGACCTCCACCCGTCCCCCCCCCATCCCCGCCTCCCCCCTGTCCCTCCCATTCCTCCCCCACTGCCCACCTGCCCTCGTCGTACTCCCCACAGAGCGACTCAAAACGCGGGTCCCGAACAACCTGTGGTTGTAGGGGCGGACGAAAAGAGAGGGGGGGAAGGGGAAGATCGAGGCTGATTGGCGGAGAATGAGGTAGATTGAGAGTGGTTGATGGAGATTGGGGGAAGATAGGAAAGATTGGAGGAAGATTGAGGGAGGTTGAGAGAGATTGCAGGAGATTGGGGGATATTGGGGGAGATTGGGGGGAAGTGGCGGCATTCACCATCTCAGAGCAAGCGCACGTCTCACAAGACCAGCGGGTTTATCAGGGAGATGGGGGGGGGGGGAGGGGGGGGGTTTGAGGGGGATGGGGGGAGACTGGGAGAGATTGGGGGAGGGGATGTTAGAGGAAATGGGGGTATGGAAGAAGATAGGGGGAGAGGGCAGTGGAAGGGATAAGGATGTTATGTGATGCTATCATTTGCATTCACGTCTGTCTGCCTCCCATCATATGTTCGTGTGTTGCATGCGTGGTGTGAGCGTGTGCAAGAATTTGTGTTTGGTGTTGTTTGGATTTTCTGAGTGTGTGTGAATGTTATTTGGCTTGAGCAGATATCTGAAGAGACTCCTCTGCTCAAGAGCTTCCCGACGAACCGAGAATCGCTGCGATCGAAGCAAGAACGAGAAAGATATGATCGTTCGAAGTTTTGATTATGATGCGGCGACTATAGGAATTTGCGGGTTGACTCAATATGGGGTACAGACTTTTGGGGGTTGGGAAATTCGTCACCATCACTGTAGATGATGCAAAGTGGTTGGGAGAAGCCAAGCCAGGTTGGCAAGTGTGGCCAAGTTAGGTGAGGTGGATGGCATGAGTTGGGAAAGTGACAAATGTCAAAGTTGGGGTGCCTATAGAGAGGGGAATTGTGTGATATGGGGTTTCCTTGGTTGGGGACTCCTTTGGGACCTTCCCTCTCGTCCTCCTCATCCCCTCCTACCTGGTTCAAGTACTACTCCAACTTTCTTGTGTGAACTTGTGAGATCATTGTTATTGAGTTACGTTTTCTATGGCAGCATACCCCCTAGTGCGCCGAAGTTCATAACTCGAGTTATACTCCATATTTTGATACTATTCAAATTGGGAAAGATAGCCACGGTCAAGGGCTACAACATACTCGAGTTTGAGAGAATTCTAATCGTGCGTAAATCGTCGACGACGTTTCTTGTGACAACGACTTTTCTGTCCTGAATTATAGTTGACGATTTTAAGATATTTCGGCCCTTAATCTTCATAGACTCCGTCCTTAGTCTCTAACAAGTGGTATCAAAGCTGATTAAGGACTTTGTGAAGAGTGGACTGAAGTGTGGACAGCAAAGGGGGAGCTGGAAATTGTGTTTGGGAGCAGAGGAAATGAGTCAAGGGAGTGGAGATGCAGCTGAGAAGAGAAATGAGCCGTCACCATCCAAGATCGAGGCATTGGATGGCTCAAACTATGAGGAATGGAGCGGGCGGATGCAGAGTGCATTCAAGCGCTACAAGCTGCTGAAACTTGCGATGGGTGAAGAGAAGATGCCAGAGGAAGGAGATGCTCGCGATCGGTGGATTGAGAAGAGTGCGGTGCTGTACGACCTAATCCTTCAATCGGTCAACAACGACATGTTCCAACACATCAAGGATTTGGTGGAGTTGGATGATTCCGGACCAAAGGCGTGGAAGCTACTGCGCGACGTGATTCAGCCCAACACGCTGCCGATGGTGATTGTGTTGGAGAAGGAGCTGGCTGCCTTCTCCATGAGACCGGGTGATGATGTGAAGCCGGTCCTTGACAAGATCAAGGACACCTATGCGAGGATGGCAGCGGCGGGCAGCAATGTGTCGCAGATGCAGCAGTGCACCAAGATCATCTCGGTGCTCGACAACTCGTGGGACAACCTCATCCCCACCCTCAACACTCAGCAGGACCAGTGGACACCTGAGTGGCTACGGCAGCAGATTCTGCAGGAGGACTTCCGCAGGCGCCACACGGGTGGTGGTGCTGCCAACAAAACTGCTGAGGGGTATGGAGATGCAGGAGGCAGCAGGGGAAGAGGGGGTGGGAGAGGCCGAGGCCGTGGGAGAGGCTTTGGCAGAGGGAGAGGCCGAGGTGACTACAATGAGGGGCATGGGAGCTCTGGTGGCAGGGGGGGCACCCGAATGGAGGGTGCGTGCTGGTACTGCAAGAAGGTTGGACACCCGTGGTTCAAGTGTTTCAGCCGGCCTGAGGGATGGGCACCCCCAGGCATGAAGCCGACGTGCACGAGGTGGCGCTGTGCAAGGTTCTGGTGCACAAGGTGAAGGTGCACATGGTAAAGCCGACCCTAGGATGTTTCTCATGGTTGAGGATGTGAAAGGGAGTGAGGGTGATGTGGGCACAGTTGGAAAGGTTGTGATGCACCCCTTCACTCACTGGGTGATAGATTCAGGTTGCACAAGTCACATGACCCCACGGACAGATTTGCTTGATGAGGTAAAGCCCCCTGGAAAGATCAAGTTTGTGGCTGCCGCTTCAGGTGCTTTGCTCCCTGTGATGTGTTGGGAATGCCAAGGTGATGGGAGCCAATGGGGGGCTTGTGGGGCTGGGGAATGTGTTGTTGGTTGAAGGCTTATCCGCTAACCTTCTTTCTGTGCGCCGGCTGCAGAAGAGCAAGGCCAAAGTGACCTTTGACCCAACCAGCTGCCGTGCAAAGCTTGGGAAGCTGCTGCTATGGAACCTGGAGGAGAAGAGCAGCTGTATCAAGGACCTGTGGCAGCTGCCCATCATCCCTTGGAGCGGGAAACCTCCACCAACGGCAGCGGCAGCAGCAACGGCAAAGGCAACTGCAGGAGGAGAGGAGATTGCACCAACTGATGGGGCCCTGGATGCAGTCAAGAAGGTGCAGCAGGCACAGCAGCCACATGGTGAGGTGCTTGCTGGTGTGGATGCGACAGCTGCATGGGCAAAGGCTTCATCTAGGAGTGGTGAGGCTGATTGGGAAACGTGGCACGAAAGGCTGTGTCATGTGAATTTTCCTATGCTGCAGAAGTTGGTGAAGGATGGGAGCTTGAAGGGGTTGGAGGTGAAAGGGGCAGTGAAGGAGATTGGGAGCTGCCCTACATGCCTTGAGACCAAGTTCACAAAGTTTCCCTTCAGCAGCGGCACGGGACCAGCCAAGGCTCCGCTCGCGCTTGTGCACATGGATGTGGTGGGCCCTACGAGGGCCCCTTCTCTCTCGGGCAGCCGCTACTTCTTAACCATTATGGATGACCACACACGTGCGGTGTGGGTGTACCCTCTCAAGACTAAGGGGGAAGTGGCAGCGGCTGTTCTTAAGGAGTGGATGCCGAGAGCTCAGAGGGAGAGCGGACACAAGGTGAAGGTGATCCACACTGTCAACGGGGGAGAATTCATTGGCGCTGATTTTGAGGCAGTGCTGAAGAAGAAGGGGATCCAGCATCAGCTCACGGTTCCCTACAACCCTCAGCAGAACGGCGTGGCTGAGCGCTTCAACCGGACCCTGCAGGAAGGTTCTCGCACTCTCCTTGGGCGTGCAGGGCTGCCGGATCCGTTTTGGGTGACTGCATTGCGGCAGGTCGCCCTTGTGAAGAACAGGGTGTTGGCGACTGTGGGGGACAAGCAATGGTTCCCCTACACCAAGTGGTATGGGAGTGCACCAGCAGTCAACATGCTGAGAGCCTACGGCTGCATGGTGGTGTTTCATGTGCCTAAGGAGAAGAGGGGAAAGTTGGAGGCTTCTGGGAGATGGGGAGTACACTTGGGGCTTGCTAAGGATCACAAGGGCTGGTTGATATGGGACGTGACCAGCCGGCAGCTGACTGTGTCAAGGGATGTGAAGTTCCTTGAGTCCTTGTACTACAAGGAGTGGAAGCAGCAGCAGCAAAAGCTCCCAAGGCCTCCTTCACTGTCATCTTAGCTATATCCCACTGCCTCTCAGGGTCGGCCACCACATCTGGGTCCAGGTCCGTCCACTCCTTGTCCTCTCCTCATCATCCAAACCTGCCGGCTCAATTTCTACTGCCCAAGCATACTTAACTGGCGGGACACCACGAGTGATGGGAGTGGAGCGACCTAGAGACGGTGCAGTGATTGTCCCAGAAACCAACACACGGCCACCATCTCTAATTCCCCACATCTCTTGCTCCCCTGTCTGCGGCTCCCCTGTCTGCTACTCCCCAATCTGCTGCTCCCCTATCTGCTCCTCCCCTATCTGCTGCTCCCCAATCTGCTGCTCCCCTGTCTGCTGTTCCCCTGTCTCCTGTCCCCCACTCTGCTGCACTCCATCCATGCTGCTCTCGTCCTGCAACTGCTCAGTCACAAGGAACAATGCACGCCTGTATCTGGTTCTCCATGGCCCCCATCCATTGCTCGAACATACGCTCCGACTTTTAAAAGTCGTGTTTCCTTTATGTTTTTCGATCTACTTCCACCAAGGTTGCCATTGTTAGAGGGCCCTATGACAGCAAGGGCCCTCGCGAAGCGTTTGAATTGGCAGGTCGGCGTCTGACGACCTAATGCCTCGGCACCGATCTCCGTGATGGTTGGAGAAGTGGTGGATTCGGTGTGAGGAGGCTTGAGTCTTTGGGAGTTAGGTGTGCTTCTTTGAGAGTCACGCCACTCCTTGCAGTGTTGGCTGGAATGGCGTGCGCGGAGTACATTTTGCTGCCGAGTTGGATGGAAATTTGGCGGGGCACGTCCACCCACCCGCACACCACTTTCGTGGGGTTGGGTTACACCGAAGCGCCACGCAACATTTGTGCAACTCTTGCTTGCCTATATTTTGCATGTGTTTTTGCTTTTGTATTCATGGATCATATTACATTTCTTATGAAGTCCAATTGCTACTTTGAATTCTCACTAAGTCCTTGGAGACGAACGCTACTTAAACGCTACTGAGTTGCTGGCGCAACACCATTCTCATATCAGAAACTCTCTCGCTATCGCTACACTCTCCATAGTATTCCTTCATGGTGCGGTGAGCGTGGAACGGACACGCATAGCTTTCCGTCGACGTTCGTTAGTATACTCGCCTTGGCGTGCGGCGTTAGTGAAGGGCGCTCATTAATTTAAGTTGAGCCTCTCTTAATTTCCCTCCAGTTATGCTCTCGGACCCAAGGATAAGGCGTTTGGTAATTCATTACCACTCGTCTGAGGACCCTTGTGAGGTGACCCCGAGACGAGGGATTTAAGGAAGGGACAAATTATTTTAATTTGTGGTACCTTATAGAGACGGCGTAGAGGATGAGTACGG